CTGTTGCAGGGCCGTAAATATATGTGTGTGTGTGTGTGTGTGTGTGTGTGTGTGTGTGTGTGTGTGTGTGTGTGTGTGTAGTGTGTGTGTGTGTGTGTGTGTGTGTGTGTGTGTGTGTGTGTGTGCACAAAGGTACGCACACACATATATTTTCCCGTGGCCTTATCATCTCACAACTGGCGAGCGGAGGAGAACACGTAATGCGACCGATCGGCCGCAGCTGTCGTGTACAGTGTGTTCCGATAGTTGAAGCAGGTGAAATCGACAGTACTAAAGCCGTAATGATAAAACGCGTAGTTGTTCCGACGATTTGTGAGAGTCACGTTTCCGCGGGCGAAAAATGTGTCGCGCGCGTGCCGTCTTTTTTCTTATTCTCATCAGACCTCGGTATCTTTTCTTTACCCTCCAGTGTTAATTTTCATCGTCTTGTACATAAACGATATTATATGAACTTTTTCCTTATGTGAATGTGTGCGTGTGCGTGTAAAAAATTTGAAGCGTGAAGTTTGATAATGTGATAAAAAAATATACTTTGAATTTGTGGATTAATAAATAACTCCGAATCTTGTCAGTTATTATAAGAAGCATTTCATGGGAAATGTAGGATATATGCAGAGAAATTAATAATAACGTTTATTAATGCAAAATAATAGAAAGGAAACTTTCAATATATTTTATCAGTCTATACTTTCTCAAACACGAGTAATACACGAGACAAAAGACACTATGCATAGTGAAACGCAAAAAATCTTTTAACTTTCTAATTTAGTAAGCTTAATTAAATAAATTTAGATCGCTTTCCATTAAATTTTTATTTCAAAAGATATTGGTTTATTTTAATGAATATAAAAAGAATATCACATAATTTTTTATTTCAAATAATGAAACCAGTCATATAATTTGATATAATTATAGTGAAGAGAAGAGCAAAGTAAATACGCGTTAATTAAATTAATTAAAAAAAAAAAAATCTTTTTCTCTTTTCATATACATTGAGGAAGTACGAGTACGTAAAATTTAAAAAACATAGCTTTTTTTTACAGATATTGTATAATTTAGAATTATTCGAATATAAGTACAAATTTAAAATTTAAAATAAATTTTTATCATTTTTTTGCGGATGAGTGAGGACAAGTTCCAATAATTTTCGATCGATCCGAAACAATTCCCCATTTTATAGAACAAACGAATACGCTGTGCTTTTCTCCGAGACACCCAGTAGCCTTCGTTCCCGTCGGCGCGATCCTATTAAACACATTCTTACGACAACGTCACAGTGGACACTGGACTTTTGCGGCGGACACATGTCGCGCTAGCTGGGCTGTCCCGAGCCTTCGACGTTTATTTGTCTTCTTCGTGTCTCCGCTTGCCGTACGTTTGGGCTCTTCTTACTCGTTGTTATTCGCGTTTGAATCCGCTATCCGCTCGAGTTCCTGCCTTGACGTGATTCCGGTCACAGTGCGTCCCGGTGTTGTGCATTATGCGGTCGGCGTGTTGTTGTCCATTAACGATAACAAGCTGCCCGGAGTACCCGTTTAATTCGTCGTCTGCGTCTCGTCGCTCGTGTCGCTGCATAATCTAATCGCCGTTGTTCTTCCACATCTCCGCAAACATCGAGGCGCGATTGGGAAAATACGCAAACGGAGAGATACACGAGAGGTACAGAGAGTTAGTACGTACGTGTATGGACACGACTGATAAAGGTGCGACAAAATCCGTCCGAATTAAATGCACATTGCGTTATCGGTCACGACCGATGTCACGGACGAGATACGTCTGCGTTATTTAATGAAAGAAACTGCCGCTGCCTCGATTCGACAGGGAAAATTTATCAATTTCAAAAATAAGTAATTGAAATAAAAAAAAATTTCCATCCAGATTAGAAGTGCAGCTGTGTAACTGCGTTCGTAATCTAGCCGAGTATCCTAACATTTCTTCGGAAGAGACCTTTTCGTAAATTTTTTCGTTTCTTGTTACAGTAATTAACTTCGAGCCCGAAACCCGAAATCAAAGTAGAGAAACTTCCGTTAAGGTCGTAACATATTCTCTTGAGATTGAAAACTTGAGATCAGCCTTTCCGGCTGATCATTAAGGGACGAATGTAAAAGGCTGTTCAATATCTGGATAGCGTGCCTGAAGCGCTCTCGAGGCTTCGAGTTTAAGAGAGCACTCGAGAGGCAGGCGGGAGGAGGAGAGAGAGAGAGAGAGAGAGAGAGAGAGAGAGCAAACGCGACGCGACGGACTCGAATTAAAATGGTCCACTGAAACTCATTCCCCGAATTAAACGGATTAGATCCAATCAGGCACTCGTCGCTGTTGCTGCGGCGGCCGCTGCCGTTGCTTGCCGAAGAAGCGGCGAAGCGGAGCACGCAACACGTTGCGTAACGACGGCGGATACCGTTTAACTCGATCTCGTCGTTTGTTTAATTAAATCAGCCTATGGTCGGAACATCTGAATGAATTTTCATGCCGCGAGTTTTCGAACTTCCAGGCACGTACTATTTCATATAATTAAAATATTAAATACGTCACGTCGTTTCGCGATATTCCATTCGCGATATACGTACGTTTCTCGTATCGCGAGTTCACATTGGAATTTAAATAAGCGTTGTCGGAGATCACGTACACACCCTATTATTCGTGTCCAATTAAGCGGATCGGCCGCGGATTTGCTCTTTACTCTGTCTCTTTTGAGAAGCGAGCGTCAAGGCCATCATTCCTATGGATTCCTCTATGGATCGGTTGAAGTTTACGCTTTCTTGGATCAACGACGGTGATTTTCGCGGGCGGCGTCGTCTTTCTCGGCACGTCTCGCGAGAATCTATCGATTTTGACGAGGGCTTCGACTTCGACAGGCAGAATATTCGGCCGGTTCGCCGCTCTATGGGGTTTCACGCTCCGCTGGCTCCCGTGACTCACGCCAAATACACACGAGCGAGTACGCCACGTGGTTACATAACGGATACACTTTGCACATTGGCTACGTATACCATGGCGCACGTCTCGTGGCGTATTCTCGACTTGTCAAATTTCTCACTGACGTACCATTTATTATTTCTCGCGATTTTTCTTATTGAACACTCAACAGGTAACAAGGTTAATTTGTCTGAGATTGCAATAAATTCACAACTGATAATTATGAAAATGAAAAAACTTAAAAGGTTAAGTCGCCGAATCAGTAAATTCGTAAATAACTTAAAGTAATTAAAGTACATTAAATATTGTCGATGGTTATTTAGATGTGATTATTATTTAAAAATATTTATACCGATCGTAGTACTTGTCTTAATTTTTAATATTTTTAGAAATATTTTAAAAATATTTATATAATATTTTATTATTATTTTATTAAAATGACAGAAATAAAATATGTATAAGACACGATATGCTCAAAAGTGAAAATTGTCTTGCCGGCAACTTCTCGACTTCTCAACTTTTTATATTGAAGTTGTGAGACAGCAGTCACGAGTTTGGCGTGGTTTAACCATCCATCAGATATAACAGGATGAAAATTTTAAGAGCGCAGGTTCGCAAACATAGAATGATATGACAGTAGCAATGTCACAAACGGGAACCAATACTTGCACTGACAGATTGCGGTTCGTTCTATCTATCAATGGTGGAGAGGGAAGAGAAAGTGGGAGAGAGTTGATCGGAACATGATTGGGAATGGTAGTCTGCAATTACAATTTTCGCGATGACCCTTCGAGCTCATTCCCGCGACATAACTTCCCTCTCCTAGGAGGGGAAACACGCATTTAAATTACGCGCACGCATTATTTGTGTACCGCAAGTATGCACTTTATACGAGTCGGAATGGTTGTGGTCCGCTAACGATGTTTGCAGCTGCAATTAAAAAAGAAGCTTGTCGCAGTACCAGTTGGGGATACTCGTTTCTGAATAATATTTATTAATTTCATTATCCTCTATTTGTTTTTAAATTTATTCTAAACATAATAATCAATGATATACGCGGAATAACAAAATTTTCAAGTTATCCAAATGACAAATACACAAATCTTCGATAAATAAATTTTACTTCTTTTTTTGTTATAATAAATATTTCTATATACTATAAATATAATATAATAATTCTATATAATATAAATATCTATATGTTCATTAATTTCCATAGGGAAATATTTGAAATGTATTACCGAATAAAACTAATGTTTTCTTTGTAAACAATTGAGTTATATATAATACATTTCGAATTATTAATAAAGACATGGAACTTTCGTG